AGTTGAAGATTTTTTTTTTCAAAAAAGGCAGAGTTTTTTATGTTTACTTGCGTTCATTACACTTTCTTAATCTTCGATTGGCTATGTTTGTTATTCGCAAATCCTCGTTGTAGTTCGTCGACGGTTATTCATGTTTTTGTTTGTCCGTCTCTGAAATTGATAATTTCATTTTTTAAATTTTTTTATATTTATTTTTCTAATTCAAAACAGGCCATTCATATTATCTGGTACGCTTTTTTATTGGCTTAAATATAAACAGATTTTACTTCAATCAAAAAATGTGTAATTTGTAATTTTACCAAGTATATTTATTTTTTCGAATTGACTGTTTCGATTGGTCACTTGGTATTGCTTAGTATAGGGCAAAATAGATTTGTTTGCTGTGTGGTTCAGGAGGGATATGTCAAAAAAAAACTTAATAGCTCAAAATTTTTTCTTTGACAACGGTTTTGTTTACGGCTGGTACGGGGTTGAATTAAGTTTAGTCGCCTTTTTTGTGCTCGGCGAATGGTTAATAATGCTTTTTGAAGGTTGTTCATTGGGTTAATTTTAACAAAAAAGTGTCCATGATAATGTTCAACAAATTCAAGGGGCTATTAGGCCATCTTTTTTCTTCGAAACTGAAAAGTTGAAGATTTTTTTTTCATATAAGGCAGTGTTTTTTCATGTTTACTTGCGTTCATTACACTTTCTTAATCTTCGATTGGCTATGTTTGTTATTCGCAAATCCTCGTTGTAGTTCGTCGACGGTTATTCATGTTTTTGTTTGTCCGTCTCTGAAATTGATAAGTTCATTTTTTTCAAATTTTAAAATTATTTTTCTAATTCAAAACAAGCCATTCATATTATCTGGAACGCTTTTTTATTGGCTTAAATATAAACAGATTTTACTTCAATCAAAAAATGTGTAATTTGTAATTTTACCAAGTTATTTATTTTTTCGATTTGACTGTTTCGATTGGTCATTTGGTATTGCTTAGTATAGGGCAAAATATATTTGTTTGCTGTGTGTTTCAGGAGGGATATGTCAAAAAAAACTGAATAGCTCAAAATTTTTCTATGACAACGGTTTTGTTTACGGCTGGTACGGGTTTGAATTAAGTTTAGTCGCCTTTTTTGTGCTCGGCGAATGGTTAATAATGCTTTTTGAAAGTTGTTCATTGAGTTAATTTTAACAAAAAGTGTCCATGATAATGTTCAACAAATTCAAGTGGCTATAAGGCCATCTTTTTTCTTCGAAACTGAAAAAATGAAGATTTTTTCAAAAAATCAGTGTTTTTTTATGTTTACTTCCGTTCATTACTCTTTCTTAATATTCGATTGGTTATGTTTGTTATTTGCAAATCCTCGTTGTAGTTCGTCGTCGGTTAGTCATGTTTTTGTTTGTCCGTCTCTGAAATTGATAATTCTATTTTTTTCAAAATTTTATATTACTTTTCTATTTCAAAACAAGCCATTCATATTATCTGGTACGCTTTTTAATTGGCTGAAATATGAACAGATTTTACTCTAATCAAAAAATCTGTAATTTGTAAATTTACCAAGTATATTTATTTTTTTTTCGATTTGACTATTTCGATTGGTCAATTTGTATTGCTTAGCTTAGGGCAAATTACTTTTTATGCTGTGTGTTTCAGGAGGGATATGTCGAAAAAAAACTAAGTAGCTCAAAAATTTTTTTTGACAACAGTTTTGTTTTCGGCTGATAGGGGGTTCAGTTAGGTTTAGTCGCCCTATTTGTGCTCGGCGAATGGTTATCAATGCTTTTTGAAGGTTGCTTATGAACATCATTCGGTTCAACTGTCTGAATTATTCGTACGTTGTAGTGCTGATTTAAATTATCCGGACAAAACGAACAAAACTTGAATTTTCAAACGCGTTTTTCTCAAATTGGGTTAAGATTAGACAAAAAGTGAAGAGAACAAAAATTGCTTAGAATTTCACCAGAATTAATATGGTGCCATTTTTTCTCCGAAATTCTCAACAAAAAATTTACCCCAAAAATGGATCATTTTGGCTTTTTTCAATTAATCAAGAATTACGCTGAAACTATTTTGTTAATTGATAAGAAAATTATATCACAGGAAGGCTCTTACGCAGCTCAACAAAGTTTAAGAAGGGTTAAACCTCCAAAAATTTGCGCAAATTGTTTAAAATTTATTTTTAAACATAGATTCTGAGCTTTATATAGTAAAAATCACATTTATTGACTATCAAGTAAAACTTTTTTCATTTAAACTGGTTTTTGAAGATTTAAACCTTCATAAACTTTGTTGAACTGCGTAAGAGGCTTTCTGTGATATAATTTTCATATCAATTAATAATGTAGTTTCAGCGTAATTCTTGATTAATTGAACAAAGCCAAAATGACCCATTTTTGGGTTAAAATTTTTGTTGAGAATTTCGGAGAAAAAATAGCACCATATTAATTCTGGTGAAAATCTGAGCAACTTTTGTCCTCTTCACTTTTTGTCTAATCTTAACCCAATTTAAGAAAAACGCGTTTGAAAATTCAAGTTTTGTTCGTTTTGTCCGGATAATTTAAATCAGCACTGTAGTTAATGTTTTTTTTTTCTACTTCAAGTAATTTTTTTAAACTTGATCTAAAAGACTTCGACATCTGTCTCTTCCTATTCGCGGTCTTCTAATGCAATGTTTTTGCTCTGTCGCAATCGTTGGGAAGCTCCGCTTTGCCTCTGTGTGTTTTTATTATTAAACTCGCGAGAGCAAGTGTCTTATTTAAAATTCGAAGAGCTTTTAGGTCATTTATTTTTCTTCGAAATTCTAAATCTTATGATTCTTTTCCAACTATCTGATGGCAATAGTTATCTTTTGTTTTTTTTTCAATATCAGTGGTTTGCAAATACTTGTGAGTTGGGTTTTTGTTTTTTTTAGCGAAAAAATGAAATAGTTTTCATTTTTCGACTACTTTGCATCTGGTTAATTTTTCTTCTAGTTTGTTTGGGCTTATTTTCCAGTGTTTTAGCATCCATTTTCTGATTATATATAAAGTTTTATTTTAACTGATTTGAGTTAATGCACCAACAAACTTTTTGAAATGTTGAAAGGTCACTCAAAACGTGAATGAGTTCCAGTTTCATAAATGAATCAATGTTTCTTAAATTCCAGCGGGATGAAAAAAATTCTGACCAATTTTTTTTGAAAGGGACATCTTCACGGAACAAAGTACCAGTCATAAACTTTAATTGAGTATGTAAATGTTTAAACTTGATGTTATTTGTTGGAAAACGAAAAATAAAAAATGTTGAAAAAAAATTTTCAATCATTTTTTCCGGTATCCTTGTTCTTTTTTACACTTACGAAGTAATGTGTAGTAGTACGATCATTATTTTTTTCCAACCGAAGTTGTAAATAAAAGTGCTACTTTTGGTGGCATTTTTGAATCAGCAGGCTGCGGTAGGAGTATAATGTCATATGTGCTGCGACTTTTGATTAGTAAAAAGTTAACAGTTGATGCATTTTTAATTCATCAAATGAAATGAAAAAAGCTAATTGTTTCAAATAGCATTCAAACAATGATAAAAAGCTCGATTTCAGAAATTTTGTATCTCGCAACTCAATGTATTTCGCAATTTGTTTTGATAGAGCTGCTTTCTTCTTTCACTTGATAGAGCTGCTATTTGGTCGTGTTCTCGCAAGTGTTTACGAAGCGCTGCTTCGCCTCTGTGTCAACTGTCTGTTGGCTATGTTATTCCATAATATTATTTTCTAGTCATTAGTTTTTATATAACGGTATGTTCGATGTGTTTTCAAATATATACAGAATAACGAGTCAGGTTAGCAAGCGTTATCAAGTCGGAATATAGACTTTTATTGCCTTAACAATTTGAATCTTTTCTAGTCACTTGAATCTTTTCATAGCTTTATTGATAATTTCAAGTTTGTTAGCTTCTACAGCACGTATAGTTTTGAGGTAACAACTACGCCTGGAACGGCTTAAGGCCTTGGTTCGAACCGTTCAGGACCTGTTTTTTTTTTCTAATAGAAAACACTGTTTCAAAAAAGTCTTAGCCTATAGTCTGGCTGCTGACCCGACTTCTCTTGTTCAGTAAGCAGTTTTCATTGTTATTGGAAGCGTTTTTGATTCATTTTAGTAGTTTGTCAAATTAACAACTCTGATGTTGCTTAATTGCTTCCTAGAGTAATGAAGTAATGAACATGGTGAGTACTCTTATATAGGTCTTGGTGTTTTTTTGCCTCTTGACTGTAAAGACAAACTGTAAAGGCCGCGAAAAATTGGTCGACTTCTAATTTCGAAAATTAAATTAGGTTATCAGATTTCCCAGCAGAATTAAAAATTTACCTATTGATCTATGTTTCGCGAATTGGGTTAATTTTATCAAAAATGCATAAATCAAAAATTATTCTCGAAGTTCTGATTTTTCTTGAATTTCTCTTTAACAAGTTTTTTTTCTGTTTCTTTGCGTTCTTTATTCTTTTCCAACTCAGTTGGCTATGTTTTAGTCATTTTAGGTCCAAGCTTTCTTCGGCTTTAAACTGTTTTGGCTTTTGTTTTATCGGCTCAGCGACCTAATTTTGCGTCTCTTGAAAAGAAAAATAAACTTTTTAAATCCTATTGTTTGTTTTGGAGGGGAAGGGCCTGAAAAGATGGAATTTCAGAAACTTTTCAGGCAACATTTTTTTGTTTTCGTTCATCGGGTGTATACACGGTTTTTTTCAGCGTAGTTGCCGCTCGATAAATAGTTTCAAATTCTGTTTTAACAGCGGCCATTTTGTTGCTAGACGTTTTCACTCAAATTGAACAAATTCGAGACAAAATGAAAATATTTTAAGTATTGTTATGTTTTCAATCTTTTTTCGACATAGCAGTCTTTCGTTATGTTCTGTCTGCTAGCTTGCATTGTTATGTTATTCAATCACGTTTTTGCGTGGTCAGCAGGTAGGTGGCTAATCTTCTATTAAAGTATCCCATTTTTTGCGGCAACATGCCAATGAACAAACTGAGCGATGATGTTTAGATGGATGAATCGGATAAGCGGAAGGGGTTATTCCATCCTTCTAATGTGATGCAGCTGGTATCGTCCAACCCAGATGTATCTGATTTCGAAATTCCATCTGAATCACTCAGTTTCGACAGTTCAGGAAGCTTTATTGGGAGAGGCGGCTTCGGACAAGTCTACGCGGGCTACCTAGGCAATGAAAAAGTTGCAGTAAAAATACCGAGTCCCAATTTGACACAGAGCTACAACGAGAAAAGCTTAGAAAAGAAGCTGAAAAAAGAGGCATACATTCAACATCATCTCAGTCATGAGAACATAGTAAAGTTGTTGAAGATCTCGCTAGACAATCCCGAGAAAAGGTGCCTGGTTTTAGAGTTCTGTGCTGGGGGACCTCTAACTCCAGTTATTTACCATAAAGCTATACCTCCTAATGTTTTGATTGAGTGGGCTTTGCGAATAGCCAGAGGCATGCAGTATCTGCACCACAAAGCACCGATTCCCATTTTGCACAAGGACTTGAAAAGTGGAAATATTCTGTTCTCTCAGCCAGTAGATGTGGACGGAGTGTTCAACAAATTCAAGGGGCGATAAGGCCATCTTTTTTCTTCGAAACTGAAAAGTTGAAGATTTTTTTTTTCAAAAAAGGCAGAGTTTTTTATGTTTACTTGCGTTCATTACACTTTCTTAATCTTCGATTGGCTATGTTTGTTATTCGCAAATCCTCGTTGTAGTTCGTCGACGGTTATTCATGTTTTTGTTTGTCCGTCTCTGAAATTGATAATTTCATTTTTTTAAATTTTTTTATATTTATTTTTCTAATTCAAAACAGGCTATCTGGTACGCTTTTTTATGGCTTAAATATAAACAGATTTTACTTCAATCAAAAAATGTGTAATTTGTAATTTTACCAAGTATATTTATTTTTTCGAATTGACTGTTTCGATTGGTCACTTGGTATTGCTTAGTATAGGGCAAAATAGATTTGTTTGCTGTGTGGTTCAGGAGGGATATGTCAAAAAAAAACTTAATAGCTCAAAATTTTTTCTTTGACAACGGTTTTGTTTACGGCTGGTACGGGGTTGCATTAAGTTTAGTCGCCTTTTTTGTGCTCGGCGAATGGTTAATAATGCTTTTTGAAGGTTGTTCATTGGGTTAATTTTAACAAAAAAGTGTCCATGATAATGTTCAACAAATTCAAGGGGCTATTAGGCCATCTTTTTTCTTCGAAACTGAAAAGTTGAAGATTTTTTTTTCATATAAGGCAGTGTTTTTTCATGTTTACTTGCGTTCATTGCACTTTCTTAATCTTCGATTGGCTATGTTTGTTATTCGCAAATCCTCGTTGTAGTTCGTCGACGGTTATTCATGTTTTTGTTTGTCCGTCTCTGAAATTGATAAGTTCATTTTTTTCAAATTTTAAAATTATTTTTCTAATTCAAAACAAGCCATTCATATTATCTGGAACGCTTTTTTATTGGCTTAAATATAAACAGATTTTACTTCAATCAAAAAATGTGTAATTTGTAATTTTACCAAGTTATTTATTTTTTCGATTTGACTGTTTCGATTGGTCATTTGGTATTGCTTAGTATAGGGCAAAATATATTTGTTTGCTGTGTGTTTCAGGAGGGATATGTCAAAAAAAACTGAATAGCTCAAAATTTTTCTATGACAACGGTTTTGTTTACGGCTGGTACGGGTTTGAATTAAGTTTAGTCGCCTTTTTTGTGCTCGGCGAATGGTTAATAATGCTTTTTGAAAGTTGTTCATTGAGTTAATTTTAACAAAAAGTGTCCATGATAATGTTCAACAAATTCAAGTGGCTATAAGGCCATCTTTTTTCTTCGAAACTGAAAAAATGAAGATTTTTTCAAAAAATCAGTGTTTTTTTATGTTTACTTCCGTTCATTACTCTTTCTTAATATTCGATTGGTTATGTTTGTTATTTGCAAATCCTCGTTGTAGTTCGTCGTCGGTTAGTCATGTTTTTATTTGTCCGTCTCTGAAATTGATAATTCTATTTTTTTCAAAATTTTATATTACTTTTCTATTTCAAAACAAGCCATTCATATTATCTGGTACGCTTTTTAATTGGCTGAAATATGAACAGATTTTACTCTAATCAAAAAATCTGTAATTTGTGAATTTACCAAGTATATTTATTTTTTTTTCGATTTGACTATTTCGATTGGTCAATTTGTATTGCTTAGCTTAGGGCAAATTACTTTTTATGCTGTGTGTTTCAGGAGGGATATGTCGAAAAAAAAACTAAGTAGCTCAAAAATTTTTTTTGACAACAGTTTTGTTTTCGGCTGATAGGGGGTTCAGTTAGGTTTAGTCGCCCTATTTGTGCTCGGCGAATGGTTAACAATGCTTTTTGAAGGTTGCTTATGAACATCATTCGGTTCAACTGTCTGAATTATTCGTACGTTGTACAGTGCTGATTTAAATTATCCGGACAAAACGAACAAAACTTGAATTTTCAAACGCGTTTTTCTCAAATTGGGTTAAGATTAGACAAAAAGTGAAGAAAACAAAAATTGCTTAGAATTTCACCAGAATTAATATGGTGCCATTTTTTCTCCGAAATTCTCAACAAAAAATTTACCCCAAAAATGGATCATTTTGGCTTTTTTCAATTAATCAAGAATTACGCTGAAACTATTTTGTTAATTGATAAGAAAATTATATCACAGGAAGGCTCTTACGCAGCTCAACAAAGTTTAAGAAGGGTTAAATCTCCAAAAATTTGCGCAAATTGTTTAAAATTTATTTTTAAACATAGATTCTGAGCTTTATATAGTAAAAATCACATTTATTGACTATCAAGTAAAACTTTTTTCATTTAAACTGGTTTTTGAAGATTTAAACCTTCATAAACTTTGTTGAACTGCGTAAGAGGCTTTCTGTGATATAATTTTCATATCAATTAACAAAGTAGTTTCAGCGTAATTCTTGATTAATTGAACAAAGCCAAAATGACCCATTTTTGGGTTAAAATTTTTGTTGAGAATTTCGGAGAAAAAATAGCACCATATTAATTCTGGTGAAATTCTGAGCAATTTTTGTCCTCTTCACTTTTTGTCTAATCTTAACCCAATTTAAGAAAAACGCGTTTGAAAATTCAAGTTTTGTTCGTTTTGTCCGGATAATTTAAATCAGCACTGTAGTTAATGTTTTTTTTTTCTACCTCAAGTAATTTTTTTAAACTTGATCTAAAAGAATTCGACATCTGTCTCTTCCTATTCGCGGTCTTCTAATGCAATGTTTTTGCTCTGTCGCAATCGTTGGGAAGCTCCGCTTTGCCTCTGTGTGTTTTTATTATTAAACTCGCGAGAGCAAGTGTCTTATTTAAAATTCGAAGAGCTTTTAGGTCATTTATTTTTCTTCGAAATTCTAAATCTTATGATTCTTTTCCAACTATCTGATGGCAATAGTTATCTTTTGTTTTTTTTCAATATCAGTGGTTTGCAAATACTTGTGAGTTGGGTTTTTGTTTTTTTTAGCGAAAAAATGAAATAGTTTTCATTTTTCGACTACTTTGCATCTGGTTAATTTTTCTTCTAGTTTGTTTGGGCTTATTTTCCAGTGTTTTAGCATCCATTTTCTGATTGTATATAAAGTTTTATTTTAACTGATTTGAGTTAATGCACCAACAAACTTTTTGAAATGTTGAAAGGTCACTCAAAACGTGAATGAGTTCCAGTTTCATAAATGAATCAATGTTTCTTAAATTCCAGCGGGATGAAAAAAATTCTGACCAATTTTTTTTGAAAGGGACATCTTTACGGAACAAAGTACCAGTCATAAACATTAATTGAGTCTGTAAATGTTTAAACTTGATGTTATTTGTTGGAAAACGAAAAATAAAAAATGTTGAAAAAAATTTTTCAATCATTTTTTCCGGTATCCTTGTTCTTTTTTACACTTGCGAAGTAATGTGTAGTAGTACGATCATTATTTTTTTCCAACCGAAGTTGTAAATAAAAGTGCTACTTTTGGTGGCATTTTTGAATCAGCAGGCTGCGGTAGGAGTATAATGTCATATGTGCTGCGACTTTTGATTAGTAAAAAGTTAACAGTTGATGCATTTTTAATTCATCAAATGAAATGAAAAAAGCTAATTGTTTCAAATAGCATTCAAACAATGATAAAAAGCTCGATTTCAGAAATTTTGTATCTCGCAACTCAATGTATTTCGCAATTTGTTTTGATAGAGCTGCTTTCTTCTTTCACTTGATAGAGCTGCTATTTGGTCGTGTTCTCGCAAGTGTTTACGAAGCGCTGCTTCGCCTCTGTGTCAACTGTCTGTTGGCTATGTTATTCCATAATATTATTTTCTAGTCATTAGTTTTTATATAACGGTATGTTCGATGTGTTTTCAAATATATACAGAATAACGAGTCAGGTTAGCAAGCGTTATCAAGTCGGAATATAGACTTTTATTGCCTTAACAATTTGAATCTTTTCTAGTCACTTGAATCTTTTCATAGCTTTATTGATAATTTCAAGTTTGTTAGCTTCTACAGCACGTATAGTTTTGAGGTAACAACTACGCCTGGAACGGCTTAAGGCCTTGGTTCGAACCGTTCAGGACCTGTTTTTTTTTCTAATAGAAAACACTGTTTCAAAAAAGTTTTAGCCTATAGTCTGGCTGCTGACCCGACTTCTCTTGTTCAGTAAGCAGTTTTCATTGTTATTGGAAGCGTTTTTGATTCATTTTAGTAGTTTGTCAAATTAACAACTCTGATGTTGCTTAATTGCTTCCTAGAGTAATGAAGTAATGAACATGGTGAGTACTCTTATATAGGTCTTGGTGTTTTTTTGCCTCTTGACTGTAAAGACAAACTGTAAAGGCCGCGAAAAATTGGTCGACTTCTAATTTCGAAAATTAAATTAGGTTATCAGATTTCCCAGCAGAATTAAAAATTTACCTATTGATCTATGTTTCGCGAATTGGGTTAATTTTATCAAAAATGCATAAATCAAAAATTATTCTCGAAGTTCTGATTTTTCTTGAATTTCTCTTTAACAAGTTTTTTTTCTGTTTCTTTGCGTTCTTTATTCTTTTCCAACTCAGTTGGCTATGTTTTAGTCATTTTAGGTCCAAGCTTTCTTCGGCTTTAAACTGTTTTGGCTTTTGTTTTATCGGCTCAGCGACCTAATTTTGCGTCTCTTGAAAAGAAAAATAAACTTTTAAAATCCTATTGTTTGTTTTGGAGGGGAAGGGCCTGAAAAGATGGAATTTCAGAAACTTTTCAGGCAACATTTTTTTGTTTTCGTTCATCGGGTGTATACACGGTTTTTTTTCAGCGTAGTTGCCGCTCGATAAATAGTTTCAAATTCTGTTTTAACAGCGGCCATTTTGTTGCTAGACGTTTTCACTCAAATTGAACAAATTCGAGACAAAATGAAAATATTTTAAGTATTGTTATTTTTTCAATCTTTTTTCGACATAGCAGTCTTTCGTTATGTTCTGTCTGCTAGCTTGCATTGTTATGTTATTCAATCACGTTTTTGCGTGGTCAGCAGGTAGGTGGCTAATCTTCTATTAAAGTATCCCATTTTTTGCGGCAACATGCCAATGAACAAACTGAGCGATGATGTTTAGATGGATGAATCGGATAAGCGGAAGGGGTTATTCCATCCTTCTAATGTGATGCAGCTGGTATCGTCCAACCCAGATGTATCTGATTTCGAAATTCCATCTGAATCACTCAGTTTCGACAGTTCAGGAAGCTTTATTGGGAGAGGCGGCTTCGGACAAGTCTACGCGGGCTACCTAGGCAATGAAAAAGTTGCAGTAAAAATACCGAGTCCCAATTTGACACAGAGCTACAACGAGAAAAGCTTAGAAAAGAAGCTGAAAAAAGAGGCATACATTCAACATCATCTCAGTCATGAGAACATAGTAAAGTTGTTGAAGATCTCGCTAGACAATCCCGAGAAAAGGTGCCTGGTTTTGGAGTTCTGTGCTGGGGGACCTCTAACTCCAGTTATTTACCATAAAGCTATACCTCCTAATGTTTTGATTGAGTGGGCTTTGCAAATAGCCAGAGGCATGCAGTATCTGCACCACAAAGCACCGATTCCCATTTTGCACAAGGACTTGAAAAGTGGAAATATTCTGTTCTCTCAGCCAGTAGATGTGGACGGAGTGTTTGATTATGAGAATAAGACCCTGAAGATCACTGATTTTGGTCTGGCCAAGCCGATTGAATTCCAGGGACAGAGTCAGAATAACTGCCAAGGTGGAGGCACTGTCGAGTGGATGTCTCCGGAGGTCATCAAGAGGTAAAAGTCAATTCGAATTTTTCAATAGCAGTCTGTAAAAAATAAAACTGAATAATCCAATTGCATTTCAATCGAATCGCATAAGAGTAATTTGGAACACTGCTAGTGATAGTATATGAACTTTTGATGTTACCATCCATAGATTGTTCGTCTTGAGATTTTAGTTCCACAAAAAATTTTGACTAACTAACTTTAACAAGGGTAGCCGGTTGCTAGACAAATAGCTCAGAAAGTTACGACCATAATTTTAAAAATTTGAAAAAAAAAACGTTTTCTTTCTTTTCTTCAAATTGTGTGCTTTTCATCACATTACGAACTCGTTTTTTGTTCGTGGTGTGATGAGAGGATCTGTACGAAAATCTTGAATTTCGAAACTTATGGTAAAATAGGTAAATTTGAAAAGGATTTTTCTCATACATTAAATGAAAAATTAAAAAATCATTTTTTTCTCAAGTTTGTAGATTTTCCCAAAACTTTTTTTTTTCCTAAAAAGGCGCTAAAAAATTTCGAAAAATAATTTTACTGTATTAGAATTAAGTTTTCATGGCTTAACTTGAATTGTAAGACTTCTATTATTAGCTGCTCATAAGTCTCTTATATTCGCTTTCTTTGCTCGAAATCAGATAAAATATCAAAATTTTCAAATCCGTTTTCTCGAAACAGATATTTTTTTTTGATTTTTTTTAACCTTCGAATCAAAATTGAAAGGGATTTAAAATAATGTATCACTCGGCCTGCTCTGATTATCTTTTGTGGTACCTTATTTCGCGTGGAAAACAAAAAAAACTAAAACACCCGAAGACAAAAAAAAATCTTTTTTTTTCTAAAGAGTCTATGAACGTAGTTCAGACTCGTATAATAGGTAGCGATGATTTTTTTTGTTTTTTTTAGGAAAAGTCTTAAAATTTATTCAGGCGCAAATTCATTTTTTAGTGGTTTGACTTTTGATTTCTTTTTAAGTTCAGTTCATTTCAGTTCTTTTGTTGAAAGAACAGCAAAAGTGTGAAGGTCACAAAAAAAACGTGATCGACATCTAGTTTCGAAAGTCGAATTTAATTTTCAGATTTCCCAGTTTTTCTCCAATTGGGTCAATTTTATTGAAAAAGTGCCACTCATAAATTGTTCTAGAAAATCAAAGAGGTTCAATGGCATCTATTTTTTCTTTGAAAATCGATAGTTGATATTTTTTCAAAAAACAAGTCGGTGTTTTTTTTCTGTTTTGCGTTCATTATTTTTTTCCAACTGTCCATCCACGTTGCCACAGACGGTCCCACCTTGAGGAGGCGGATGACACTGGTACGCCTCCAACCGTGACCGAAGCGGGAATCGAACCCACGGCCTGTGTATTAGATAAATTAATGTTTGTTTTCAATGGTCAAAACAAATAAATTGCTGTGTGAAAAACGTTTTATTTGTTTTTACGCTTGAGATTAGCAAGCTTTATTAAACTGGAATATATCAACAGCTAATTTAACAGAATCTTTTGAGTCATGTGATAGCTTGCTTTATTAATGAAGTTAATTTTCATGAAAATGTGGGTCCAGTAGTGTGGTGGCAAAGAGCGGAGTTATGTCGTGAAGAATTAAACGTTCAAATCCGAGACCAAGCCAGTTTTAAGAGTCGATGAACGTAGTTAAGACTCTCATATAGGTCGCGGTTGTTTTTTTTGTTTCTTTTTACAGGAAGATTCTTAAAATTTATTCAGGCACAAATGTACTTTTGGCGCAATTTGACTTCTGATTTCTTTACCCTTCCGATAAGCAATGGTGTTGCAATCGGGTACTAGACTTTTTTCCGTAATTAATTTTGTTCACAGGACTCATCTGGACTCCTGGTGGTACCTTAGTTCATAATGATTTCAAATTACTTAGTGTCTCCTGCACTCTTAGACTGGAGGTAACGAATACGACTGGGACGGTAATAATCCTGGGTTTGAATCTGATTAGGTTTTGTATTGTTTTCAAACGTTAAATATTCCGGTTCAAGAAAATTTCGGCCCATTATTTGTCTGCTTATGTTTTTTCGGTTTATTTGCGTTTTTTTTGCTGCAAACATTTTTCATTGTAGGTGCTTCAAGTGTTTGTAGCATTTTAAAAGTCCGTCGGAATCTTATTTTTTACATAGGTCGATATGTGAAAGTTTCATTTTTGTTTGTCTTTTTTATCGGCTTAATAAGTTCCGATTTAGTTTATATCGACCTAGCGGACTCCTATTGCGTCGTTTGGGGATCGAAAAAAGTTTTGTGCGTGCGTGTGTTCTGGGGGGAGGACATAATTTTTTTATTAGCTCAGAATTTTTTGAATTGCTTTTTCGGCGTCACACGTTTCTGCTCAGATATTTTGGCCTTTGTTACCGCTTGCTTATTTCAATTCAAATTCAATCGATATACGGCCCATCTAGAGTAGAGGTAACCCATTGTGGTTCGAATCCAGCCAGAACTTGTTTTTTTTAACTAGATTTTTTGTTTTTTCGGGCTATCGTCTATCTGTTTAATTTTTTTTTGGCTTAGTTCCCGCCATGCTTAAGACGACAGAGCTTGGGAGTTCGATTTGAGTCGAGACCTGTTTTTTTTGCAAATCGAAAATTTTCGGCTAGTTAAGATTGTTTTCGATCTGCCTATTCTTGTCGGTTTAGTTCCGCTGAAATGGTTTGTTTTGAAAATTTGCAGGCCTTTTTTAGGATGTTTTGGGCTTTTGTTTCAAATTTTTGACAAACACGATTTTTTGAAGTTTTTTTTCGTTTGATTTTAGTCATGTCATTCATATTTGTATCGCAAGTGGTGCGAATCTCAGCTTCGCCTCTGAGTTAAAATTGTGTCTGTACCTCTATATGTTGACTAGGTCGCTCTACTCGCACGCAAGTGACAGCTGGAGCTTCGGGGTGGTGTTTTGGGAGATGATGATTGGTCAGGCGCCCTACAGGAACCTGCCCTACCACACTGTACTGTACAAGATAGGGGAGCATAACCTCACACTGCCTATTCCCACCCACATGGAGGGGGGGTTCGTCGCCAACATCATGAGGGGCTGCTGGGACGTATCGGTCAGCTCCAGGTTGTCGTTTAACCAGATCGTAGAAGAGCTGCTGTCTGTTCTGGATCAGTATAGCCAGGTAAACAAACAATTCGGAATTCTATTATATATTTAAATGCGGGATTCGCTATCTCGCCATGTTAAAGTTTTTCAACTTATTATTTTTGCATGTTTAACGAAAGATTTTTTTCGTGTTTAAGCTATATCTTATATTGCAATGGTTAAGATTTTTTTTCGATTTTCCAGTTTTTCACCAAGTTTTAAATTAACAACCCATTATTGGGATACTGTCAGGCTTCTCCAGGTGCTGTGGTTTTTGCCTCCAATTATGAATACCCAAATACTTCTAATTTATGAGATACGACGATTTTTGGGAGCTATTCAAAAAAAATTTCAGAAAAATTAAGTTAAAAAAGTTCACAAAATGTGATAATCTCAACCCTGTAGCTGGGTGCTGTCAGGGAAATCTCGGGATTACGAATCTTGCCTCCAAATATGACTGCTCAAATTCTTGTAGTTTTCAAGATATGATGTTTTTTTTGGATTTTTTAAAAATTTCTAGAAAACTCAGTTGTGAACAAAATCAAAAGATTAGAAAATCCCAACCCTGTAGTTGGGTGCTGCCAGAGTACTCTCATGGACTGCGAATCTTGCCTACAAATTTTACTGCTCAAATCCTTGTAGTTTTCGAGATATGACGTTTTTTCTGATTTTTTCAAAACATTCAGAAAATTTAATTTAATTTTCAAAATTTAAACTCCAACCCTTTAGTTGGGGGCTATTAGAGTACTCTCTGGAGTTGCAACTTTTGGCTCCAAATATGACTGCTCAACTCTCGGTAGTTTTCCAGGTGTGAAATTTTTTGTGATTTTTTCAAACAAGTTTCAGAAAACTTAAATTTGTTTTTTTTTCTTCAAAAGTTGAAATTCCGAACCCTGTAGTTGAAGTTTCTCGGAGAACTCTCAGGATATGCAAATCTTGCGTCCAAATGCGACTGCTCAATGGCTTTGAGTTTCCGAGACGGGACTTTTCTTAATCCATTATAAAACTTAGCTAAAAAAAATTCTAAAAATTTTTTATGGTTTTTCAAAATATGAACTAAAAAAACTAATAAAAAAAATTTACACAATTTGTGATTACCAACCCTGTAATTGGATGCTGTCAGGGTACACTCAAAGGATGCAGATGTTATTTCCAATAAATGCAGTTTTTATGAGTTGTTGAAAATTCGAAGCACCGGAGGTGCGTTAGGCGCTAGTAATTGTGAACCAACGATTTGAGTTAACTTGTAAAACTTCCACTAGTTGTAGCCATTATTTTGAGCCGTAGTATCAGTAAGAGTTTTTGAGTATTCTCTTCTTGTGATTTCTGAAGGCCTTATTTTTATGTCGCCACAAGTTCGTCTAGGCTCACAGAAAACAATTTATCAGTCACACTTACTCGTGTGATATCGATTTTCTGCGCATGCGTTCATACAAGTGTGTTGCTATGACTCCAGGTCGAGTTCATGTCTGGCGATCAATTCGTGCAATTCAGAGAGGAGAACTGGTACTCTGAGATCAACTACGACTACATTACGACAACTGATTACGGCGGAGGCAACTCGATATCGCAACACTTGGTCGAACAGCTAATACAGGCGCACAAAGACAAACGAGAGATTCAGTTGCGATTAGCAGAGAAAGAACTGAAGGAAGCTTTGAATCTGCAGGGATCTAAGCCAGAAAGTAAGAAGGCACCCAAAAACAGGTTGAAGTCAGGGAAGCCAGGGAAGCCAGAACCAGAAATAAGCTTCCCCCGAGGGCTTGTGCATGAGGTCAGTGTAATAGACGAGTCATTGCAGTTTCCCAAATTCACGCACAACAGCTCAGAAATCTTGAGTCAAGATTCTTTCAGCTCCTCCATTTTCCATAGCAGTAAAGCTGGTGTGCTCAGTTCTCCGAGGCTAGATTTTGCGCAAGGGTACGGGACGTGGAATGGACGATCTAGCAGGTCAAGACCACGAATACCTTATTTAAATGCCAGACCATTTCACGACTCATGTGATCAAATGAGCGCGAACGATGCCAACGATATTTCGAGCAAAAGCTATGACTTCACTATGAGTAAGAATGGGAAGATCTCGCAGAGCGAAGGCAATATCCTCTCAATCGGCAGTGGGAATATAAACAGTGGTGCAAATAAAAGCGACAGTAATGAGTCGCAAATGTCAGTGAGTGATTCTCTTCAGCAAACCAGGAAATCCAGAAGTTTCAAGAGCAAAATCTGGAGACGCATATCAACATTTGCAAAACGAAAGCCGGATCGAAATAGTACATCTTCGAACACTAGTGGAACATGCAGCAACCTGGGAGTGGTTATTTCAGGCCCAACCAACAGCTTCAAGAAACAGCCAATATCTGACAAGGAATACCCTGTGGACATATATAAATATAGCGAATTAACAAAAGAGAGCACGCCTCAGAAGATCATTAAGATATCAGACCAGGTATCCTCCGGAGGACTCAGCAGACCCACAAATCTGGATCTGGCTGCACACAACCGATCACCCAACTCCCAACAGGGTAAATCTATTAAGCCAAGCCAAGTTATGCTGCACGAAAATATAAGTTCGTTGTGTAATTCCTCATTTGTTGAAGACGAATCAAATCCACGTGAAAGTTATGCGAGATTTAGATGCCGCATAATATTCAGCATCGTGATTCAGCATGTTTGCAAGAATCGTGATTTTTTCTCTGATTCTATATTTATTGATTTCTACTTTTTTAGAACGTATCTTTCAAATCGTATTTCTGGGTCGATGCACGCAGTGAAGGCTCTTATATCGGTTGCGATATTTTTTTCAGGAAAAGTCTTAAATCTGTTCACGCTCAAATTTGATTTTCCTTTTGCGGTTTGATTTTCTTTTTTGTTTTTACACTAGCCAGCATTAGTCTACTAGTACGAATCTTCTTTTTATCTAACCTCGCAGATAAAAATGTTCATTTAAAATGCTCACTTATTTGGTGGCTTTTTTGCTTTTATAATCACTATTTGTATCATGAATAATTGCATAGCCTCTGTTCTCAGCTTTTTGTGGCTATTGTTTGTGATTAAGAGCAATGAAAGTAGTGAGTACTCTTATAAAAGTCTTGCTGATTTTTTTTTCAGGAAAGTCTTAAAATTGGTTTAAGCTCTATTTTGCTTTTTCGCGGTTTGACTTTTGATTTTTTCTCAGTCTCAATAGTTTATTCGATATTTTAAAAAATTCAGACAAAACAAGCTACAGGCTAAAAATGTCAGATTCTGATTAAGATGCGTTGAAGAACTGATCATCTTGTATAAAACTTCACAATTTTTTGTTTTTGAAGCTGTGCGGAAGTGAAGCTTTTTTGGCATGAAACAGGAAAGAAAAACTGCTTTAACTATCAAATAATACGTGAAATCGTTTCTCGGCAGTGAATGTTCGAATGGAATATTTGAGTGTGAAAGACTTGCGATCCCCGATTTTAGCTTGAACAAATTTTAAGACTGCCTGAAAAAAAAACAGTGAAAAAATCATCTTGATCTATATTGGAGTCTGAACTACGTGACTAATGAATTAACTCTTTAATGAATTTTGTGCATAGCAAACTACACTATCGAACAAAACGTGACAGACTTCTATTTTCGAAAAAGGATTTTTAATGATTACCCTTGTGATAAACAAGATTATTGCAATCGGTTACTAGACTTTTTTCCCGTAAATAACTTCAGGCACAGGAGATCTTCACTTCTAGAGGTTCTTCATTTCTACAGAATCTTCTAACGTGCTCAATTTCTTGAAAATTCATGGTTTCCGTCATAGTTTCTGTCCGTTCATTTCTCGTTTTTTTTTAAACCCCATTTTTTGTTTATAGTAGGTCTTAAATTGGTTTACTTTTTTCGGTTTTTTTTCTACATAATCAAACAGTTTCAGTTTATGTTACATTGACAGAGTCGACTTATTTTGCGTAATTTCGAGGGCAAAATTTATCCGTTTGGGATGGGTTTTTAAAACTTTTTAGTTAAATGATATTTTTATGACAACAATTTTGTTTTCGGCTGAACACATTTCGACCCAAAGTTTGTTGCCGCTCGGTAATTGCTTTCCAATTTTATGGGCTGTTCATGAAATTCATCTGATACAAATTTGAAGGTTTTGTAGCAGTAATTTTTCCACTTAAGTATTTTTTTTTTCAACATAATTTTTCTGATTTTTTTATTTTGTTCTTTTTTCATTCCCTAAATTGTATCGCAATGTGTTTTTTGCATCACAAGTGTTGCGAAGCTCCGCTCCGCTTCTATGTTAGATTTCCCAGCGAAATAAAGAAAATATGCTGATTGATCCAGTTTTCTGAATTTGGGTGTGTTTTATCAAAAACTGTCAATCCTAAATTGTTTAGTTTTTTAAAAAGTTCATCTTTTGTTGTCGTTGAAATTAAAGTTTGTTTTCTATTAAAATTCATCTATTGTTTTCTTTGAAATTCGAATGTTCTTAAAACTATTCATCTACAGGGAAAAGACCATCATACGAGCTGTTCAGCTCTTCACGGATAACCGCTGTTGTGCCCCTGGTTAAGATCTACATGCAATTTTTGGGATATTTTTCTGGGCTGGGTAATGTTGCCTCACCCTCAAGCAACGAGCGCGAATCACGATGGGTCTCGATTATCCGAATTTTCGATTGAGAGGCAGAGATAATTTTCAAAAAGTACGTCAGTTTTTTTCTGTTACTTGCGTTCATTGACTCTTTTCAAACTGTCTGTTGGCTATTATTTGTGATGAAGCCCCTACTTAAGGCGGAATTTGTCAGAATGTTTTTCCTTAAGCATAAAAGTGTATCCTTTTATGCTCTTTTGTTATCCTTGAAGTTTTGTCACCGTATAAATTTCCCAAAAAAGATCGAATATGACCCAGATCTAGCACAGGGTGGTATTTTTCCTTGGCAATGTTTTTTGTATCGCAAGTGGTGCTACAATATACTTAGCATCTGTATCAAACTAAAAAAGCGTTTTTTTCTTGATTTGAATTAAATTGTTTTGATTTTCTTGTGGACGGTCTTAATTATCATGACTTTTGATTTACCTATGGTGTCTCAGTCTCACAAGTTGGGTCATCATTATTTTTATCACATTTCCAGCGAATAAAAAAAATTGTGCTTATTAATCCAGTTTTCTCAAGTTGGGTTAGTTGTATCAAATTGTCAATCGTAATATGTCCATTTTATTTCTTTGAAGCTCGAGATAAGTGAGATTTTTGTCGAAAAATAAGTCAGTATGTTTTTCTGGTTACTTGCGTTCATTGACACTTTTAACTGTCTGTTGACTATGTTTTTTTTTGTGTGAATTGGTGAGAAATAATCAAACAATTGATGTTTCACGCTATTATTATTTTTCAATAAAGTTGCGGTTATGACATTATTGAGTAGTTTTGTTTTCTGTTGGATCATATGTAGGTAACTTGTCCTCATACGGCGAAGATTTTGATTGCGATGATGCCAGGAGTGGCGGAGGAGGAGGTTTTGGAGACAGTCGACTTTTCTCGCCCACCTATCGAATTCCGACTGGGTCTCACCATTCTCAGCACCAGCCATCCCACTTCAATTACATAACTCAGCAGAACGGTGAAATACGAGTGTCGAACCACTCTCACCAGCATAGCAATCGTTACTCTCCGATTATTCCCGGGAAGAACCACCCGTCCCGTAGAACACCTCTGCAGCATCAACCGCCAATGTCGCCGCATCAAGGTAGCAACAGCCGAGTCATCACGCCTAATAATAACAGCTCTTTCTTGTTCAAAGCGGAAGCTGCTGCAGCTAATAACCAGTACCACCTTGCAAAAAGTCCGTCTGTGTCGCCTTTGCTAGTACATCAACACAACACGCACACGAACCCAAGGCACTACATCCCAAACCCAGTATTTTCATCCTCGGAACCAACGAAACCGGATTTGCTAAATGATTCAAATACAGACGATGACTCATCGTCTTCGCACAACTACTTGTCGTCAGGATTTCTCGCCCAACACTACCCCAATTTGAACCAATCCTCGTTTCTCGGTTCAGGTGACGAGATGGACTGCCAGTCGTCAGACGATGACCCGAAGAGATCAGACACGATTACTACTTCGAAGCAAGAGGACACGCAAAAAACGGTCAGCTCGCGGTCTTCGTCGTCCAGTCCACCTCCGCCGAGACCGGAACCTCCGCAAGTGATCAGCAGTGCTTAACTCGAACCCAGTTTAATAGATTATACACCTATCAAATAACATTGATGTTTTATGTACACTATCTTCATATAGATTTGGCTCTTGCTTCGAGCTCCGTATTAAGAGTAATGAACGTAATGATTTCGCAGATTTCCCCGTGAAATAAAAGTTTTACCGATTGATCCAGTTTTCTCAAATTGGGTCAATTTTAACGAAAAAGTCTATATCATAAATTGTTCTACAAATTCAAAGAGCTTAAAGGCCATCTATTTTTTTCGAAATTTATTACTCTTTTCCAACTGTCAGTTGGCTATGTTTTGGCACTACTTGCTTCACTATGTGAATGCTGAACCTGAAATCATTATAGATGTCGAATTACCAGCGCATTTCTCTACTTAGATTAGAAGATATTTGTTGTTCTTTTTCATTCATAAATTTCACAATACCCGTAAATTTCGCTTAAAAAGTCACGACGTATCTCAAAAAAGCCAGCAAGAATGGAAAGACTTGAACTCTTAAAGGAAAGACTTGTAACAAACTGCACGCTATACTGGCAACTACTGCAGTCTTCTCAATGAAACTTTTTCTTGTTATGCATAACTTTTGAGTACGTCCTCGTTTTTGAGCGATAGCAAAAAGGTTGCAATTTTTCTTTTTCTATACCATTACAAATAGAATATCTTTTCAGTTTAGATAGCTGATTCTGTATGTTTTCTTAATCCGTGTCTTTCTGTCTTTGTATTTCTTGCTAATTTCCTTCGCTCTTTAATTTTCCAGTCCATGGTAGTTTTATTTTATTACATAGAGATTTGAAGAGTTCAGTTCAAAATTGATGGATATATAAATCGATAAATATATGCTGTATTTTACAATTTTCAAAATCAGGTTAATCTCATTTCTACTAAATTCGAGTTTATTTGTGTATATTTCTCTATTGTATGTCAGACATAATTCGATGTTTCACCTTAATGTAGCAATCTGCTATTTTGTCGAATATTAAATAGTTTGGACAATTTTATTTAGTAGATTGTACATATCAGTTTTCTTTTGAATGAGTGGAAACAAGAAAATAATTTTGGTCTTGCTGTTACCGCATTTTTAATTAAACTGAGAACTGAGTCGGCTTGGAACAGATGCATATTTCTTGTGAAATTTGATCCAATGCGAGAAAATAAGGTTCAATTTTTTTCTGCATAAATGCTCAGCTGTCGATATATTTTAGGACCATTTTTGAAGCCACTTGTATTATCACATAGTTTTGATTAAGAAATTAAACTGGATGTTCGTGGAACTTTTGTCGAGAACTTCAAATCGTCTCAGTTTTCGTAACTTTTGGAGCTGAAAATAAAAATTAGGTGTTGCCAAATCCAGAAGCCGACATTTTAACTCCTCCGGAAGATTATTTTTTTCTCTGATAAAACAAAGATTGATGTTACAGCTTCCTTCTTTGAAATGAGCTAATTTAGTTTTAGTTTGAGATTTCCCAGCGGAATAAAAAGTTACTTATTGATCCAGTTTTCTGTGTTATTTTATCAATAAAATTTCATTCAAACATATATTTCATTACACAAGCCAAGCGTAGTGTATTGTTACGCATTTTTTTTCTTCTAATCTAAGTCGCAAATAAAACAGTTCATTCGGTTTAAGCGTAAAAATATTAATGGCACATGTTGCTGCTTTATTTTGGCTAGTCTTAGGGCCTGTTTGGAAAAAACATGCTTTCTAAAAATATATGAGATTTGTTGTTTTTCGTTTTTTTACCGCTACGCTTTGGAAGATTTTTTTGCACTTTTTGCTGAAAACAACTTCTCCGATTTTCGAAAAAATGAGACCAATGGAAAAATCGGCTGCTCTTCGATGTGCATGCATATTTCGCCGGTCTCTTTTCACTTCACGTTCTACGCCTTCAAATCTACAGTTTCAAATCGGAGATTAAGAGTTTAACGAAAAAAAATATATGTGCATCTTACTTGCGCAAGCGGCTATGCCATGCGTTCTAAAAAACATGGCCTTATAAAATGTCCAATTTTGAAATTTCGCCCGTTCTTTTCAAAAACTAACCTGCTGTTTTTGAGGTTGGTAGTTAATTCAAACTAACATGGTACTGAGCTTTTTCCTGAGTAATCTGTTTTATCCTGTTTTTTTTTGTAGAAAAATTTGATATGGACTAAGGAAAAATTCCTTTTTAAGTAGCTATCGTTTTTCTTCAAGAAATTTCGTCACTATTCGCGAAAACTACCAGCTAAATCTGATATTAAGGGTTCAATCTAAAAAATCAGGGTGCGGAAATCTTCAATCTAAAAATCAGGGTGTTGAAAGCACAGCTATTTCCCTGCTTTTTGTAGAGAAAGTTTTATGGATTTAGGGAAAGTGAAATTTTTGACTTTTTGAGCAATTTTATGAATCTTCGTTTTTTTTTTCGAGAACTACCTCGCCAAATCTGAGATGAGGACTTCAATTGAAAGAGCGAGAAGTGTTTTTCTCCTTTATCCCCTCTTTAAGCAGAGAAACTCTAGGGTTTAATTTAAAGTCGCTTTTTTGAAATTTTGAAAATTACGCAGTACCGTATCAGAACAATGTATTTTAAAAATTAGAACAGGTAGATCCAGCATAAGCTGGGCCACTTGTTTACTTCCAAGCTACCGTGGCGCAGATGCAAGGACATGAGATTTCTAATCAATAGTTTCGGATCCAGCATTTTTTGGTCGAATTTTTGCTGCATAACATTGGCAGTTTGAATAGAAACTGTAGCTGCTTTATTGGTGGTCATTTTTTCAGTGTTTTTTTTAATCTTCTCTTCATTTCAGTTTGTTTTTTCCTCTTTAGAGTTCGTTTTTGCATTTTCCTCCCGTGTGTCTGCGAAGCACAGCTTCGCCTCTGTGTTGAACTTCCAACGTTAGTATGTTAAAAATTAAGCCAGTATTTTTTGTTTCCTTGCATATATTGACTTTTCGAGCTGTCTGTAGGCTATGTTTTGTGATGGAGCCCTTGGTTAAGACGTAAATTCGTCGAAAATAAATTTCCATGAATATTATAGTGTCCGAGCAGGGATTTATGTTATCCTTGAAAATTTTCACCCCTAATATTCACAAAAAAGATCGAATATGACACAGATCTTTTGTATCGGAAGTGGGGCGACGATCCACTCAGCATGTTTCAAACTAGGTATTAATAGTTGCTTGGTTAGTTTCTTTTGATTTTCTGGATGAAGAGCACAATAATTCATGAGTACTGTTTTGTCATTGATTTCTCAGTCTCATAAGTTGATTCGAAAATGAAAGTATGAGACAAAACGAGCCACAGGTTAAAAATTTTAGATTTCGGTTAAAAGAAGCTGGCAAGAAAGATCATTTTATTATGAAAAATTCTCATGTTTGTGCTCATGGAAGTGGCATTGAAAGGAAGAGAATTGATTTGAGGATGAAACGATAGCATAAAAAAAATTACCAGCCTCGATAACTATTCTGAAAATTCTGACTTAAAGACTACAATATTTGTGGCTAAATCAGTTCCGGTGTTTCAGTAACGGGTCACAGGTAACAGCTCAAAATTCGTTAGTTTCGATTGTTAAAAGGAAGGCAAACTCCCCTATCGAACAGCAAAATTGTAAAGGTCACGAAAAACTTGATCTACTTCTAATTTTGAAAACGGAAAATATTTATCAAATTTCCAAGCGAAATAAAATGTTTACCTGTTGATCCAGTTTTCTCAAATTGGGTAAATTTTAACGAAAAAGTGTCCATCATTAATTGTTCTACAAATTCAAAGGTCTTAAAGGCCATCTATTTTTTTCGAAATTCAAAAATTGAAGGTTTTCGAAAAAACAAGGTTTTTTCAGTTTCCTTGCATTCATTAGTTTTTTCCAACTGTTAGCTGGCTATGTTTTGTGTGTCTGCAAAAAGAATAAACAAAATTGGGATTTCTCTCAAGATATGTACATGAGTGACAGTGAAACAGAGGAGGATGGGGGGTACCTGAAAAGAGTGAAACCAGAGAATAAATCAATCGTGATTCTGAAGGGATCTATCGCAGTTGGTGATCTGGAGTCGGGAGTGGATTTCGAGATAGAGGAAGTGAATAGGGAACTACTGGATGGGCCGAATGGGGATGCCAGATTAGAGGCGGAAGACAACGAAGAGTATATTTCGGTGAGTTGCTCTCTCTCTCTATCTTGGCTGTTATGATTACAGCTTTTGTAGAAACTTTCATCTTGACATGGCGAATCCGGTAGTTATGTAACCCAGCCATCATATGATTGCGAGCTCAAATCGCGCTTGCAGTGCAATTTTCAAGGTGACCGCTTGTATCATAGCCATAACTCAATGGGCTCATGATTAAGTGAGCTCTAGTTCAACTTTAAGTTATTAACCACCTCCTGGTTAGGCCTCTGACTGGTTGACTAAAAATCGAAAAAACGGCTGTTTATTTCTACATAGATTTTGAATTTAATAGACAAATCTTCTGGCAAATAATGGTTATATGATTACCTGCTAGGCTGTTATATACTTACCCGCTAATGCTCAATGATAATTGAATCTATTTACGCTTGCGATTAGCGTGTTATCAAAGCAAAATATAAGAAATTTCAGTTCAACATTTGTTTAACAAAATCACAAGAATGATTGGACAGCATGATTGATGTGCTGACGTGATCAATTCCTTGAAAGATCAAATTAAACTAATGGTTGCTGTAATAATACTTATTCACTAGTTATATTAGTGCTGCTGATTTGAAGCTGTGTTGATCGGGAACCTTTTTTTCAACCTTATTTTTAGGTCGACCAAACTGATTTTCCGAGAACTGCCAAAGAAATAATAAGACCCTGTTTTAGAAAAATTTTGTGCGCCGCAGGCAAAATTTTGAAAAATCGTTTTCAGGCACTTTTTCTTAAAATTTTGACCAAAAAAATTGCGTTTTTTCGGTGCGCGCTCCCCCCTCAAAATTAGTATATATTGGCGCCAAAGGCGTCTTTAAAAAAAGTTTAGGGTCCGTCAGCCAAAAATGAATATCTCAGAATAGTACAAAGGGGGGACCCTTTGTGTCGGCAGGTGGTCGAATCCCTAAATCGGCCCTTGGGTGGGTACTAGTAACTACAGGGTAGTTTCAGGGGGGAATTGAAACTTAAAATATTTTTTTTCTGTTCAAATAATTGTTGAGCCAGGCGGTTTTTGTCTCCTTTTCTGTCTGCAAGCTTACAGATGTTTGTGTTGCTATGTTTGTGATACATGCAATGTTTGTGATACATTGAAAATATGTTTGTGTTGAATATGAGAATTGCATATCAAATTACCGATTATACTTTTTTGACAGGAAATCTGTTCTCCATGCAATCCATTCAAATCTGGAACTGGAAGTGACGAAGAGGACGGAGGGGACTTGGATTTGGAAAGCCTCAAGCGAAAAATGAAGGACATCACTGACATGTTCTCGTCTCATCACAAGGAGCTCATCTTCAAGCGAGTGCTGGAGGCATCGCCTCTGAAGGGGGAGCTAGGAGCAGTAGTGTCTAGTGGCTTAGTGAGTGTGGACTACTCTGCCTACCTTGAGGGACAAGATGAGCCGTTTGACTCGACTAGGAGGCGAAGACATCCGCATACATTTACAATCGGAGATTGTTCTACGATAGAAGGTATAGTTATGTTCCGTTACACTAAGAAAGCTTCGCGTTTGAAGGTTATTGGAAGCGAAGGGTCTCGCAGTTGAACGGTTCAAATTAGTGTTGGACGCATTGGAAAGTTTTTCACTTTGCTCAAAAAGTTGAGTTTTTCTCAAAAAGTGTTACCAATAGAACGATCGCCTACTCCTCTGTGTGCCTGCATATTCCCCTAGTCTCCTATTAGCTTACCCCATAGGAGACTTTCTCAAAAACACTCAAAAAGTGTTACCAATAGAACGATCGCCTACTCCTCTGTGTGCCTGCATATTCCCCTAGTCTCCTATTAGCTTACCCCACGTACCCTATCTCGAAATCGACCCTTCTCAATAGGAGATTTGGATACAATCGAAAGAAAAAATTCGCAAGCTGCCCTGCATAACCGGATGCGCCCAATTTTCTTACTCAATGAGTTATGGCCCTGGGATTTTGAGACTTTCTGATTAATGTGTGGTTAAGGGTTCAATCGAAAGAACAGATTGTGGGCATCTTCCCGGCAGAAGCAGCTACGGCCTAATTTTTATAGATACACTTAGCCCGCCAATTCTGATGTAATTGTTCTAATGAAAGAATATGGTGCAAATATCTCTCCTGCATAAACGGTTGTTTCCTTTTTTTTGTAGAAAAAGCCGGTATAGCTTTGGGAAATTTTTAGCGCTCAAGGAAACTTTTGTGATATGGCAAATTATATACATATGTTATTGGTGGCGAGTTGCAGGGGATTTTAAGCATCCGTGGCATTTTTAGGCATCGAGTTGGGCATTCGCACGATGAAAATAGGAGAGCGAAGTCAGTTCATAGTTGCGCCTGAATTGGCGTACGGGAAGTTGGGACTCCCCAATGTAGTGCCTGCGAACTCAGAAGTACTTTTTGACATCCAGGTTAAAGACTGTGTTTTGGGCGATGCCATCGAACAGCTGGCTCGTAATCCGGAGCAAGAGGCGAGTGAAGGAAGTCAACGGAGTAGTACAGATGATTTGCAACTGAGGTTGAAGGCGTCCAAACAGGCTTTCAAAATGGGAAACAGCCGATATAGAGTGAGGCTAGTTTCTTTGTATTTATTTTTGCCTTCAAATAGATGCATAAAAATTATGGTTTTACTATTGCGTCAATTGATGTAACCGCTGGCTATATTTATGACTTTTTTGTGTTTTTTTCTGGATAGAGGAAATAGGCTTGCCTATTAAGGGGATATGTTCGTGTAATATAGCGTCCCATGATGGAATGGAATGTCGATCAGATGGGGTGTTTTATATTTTTCAGGAGCTACAAGGATGCTCTAAGCCACTACAGGAAGGCGGCAGACATGGTCAGTTGGGAAAGTGCGAGGGACGAAGCGGAGGATTATGTACGCATGGCCCTATGGGCTAAAATCATGCGAGGAGTATGCAGGTGAGAAGGGATCGTTAGTTTAGTTGTGTAGGGGAGTACTATGTTTAATCTGATTATGCAGTTGGATATATTTTAGCAAAAAAAGCGCGTATATCAGGGGCGGCAGGTGGTCGAATCCCCCCCAGGCGCAGAAAATTTGGCCAAAACAGGATGTTTTTAGTGCTTTGGTGGGAGAGCTGGGAAAATCGATTTAATCGACCTGCCGTATATCAATTTAAAAATATTTCAACTTCTTTTTTCATATGCGCAACGTGATTTTGAGACACATATGCGGAAAGAGCCTGATAGCTTAACAAATTGTAATCGAATCTTAGTTCTATAAGAATAGTATTCAGTAATGTTTGTTTCGATTGAATAGCATGGGTTTTGAAAAATAAATGCTCACTGGTGCGATTGATTAGATGATTTTCTCTTTCAAACACTCAAAACTCTCTCTCTATCTCTCAAACAGAATCGATCTCTCCAATTCAAACAAGTTCGGAACCGAAATCAGTAGCTACTACAACAACAGTAGATGATTTTCCTTTTAGATGTCTTTTCGAGCTGGCCAAGTATAGACCATGTCTTGCGGAGTGTAAACAAGTTCTGGAGTACTACCCAGACGATCCGGTCGTTAATCTCCTCAAGGGCCAATGCTTTATTTTACTGGGAAACAATATAGATGCTGCCATCAGAGCATTCGAAAGAGGACTCTGTTCATGTCCTGGAAATGCCTCACTGAGTGAAGCTCTCAATAGTGCAATCAAGCAAAAACATAGTAAGTGTTTTGTCTATCTCGGGAATGATCAAACGTTCGAATCCGAGACCATGTCAGTTTTTCTAATTCGAGAAACGTAGTTCAGGCTCTTATATAGGTCGCGATGATTTGTTTTTTGTTTTTTTTTTTGGAAAAACTTTGAAAGTTTTTTCAGGCTCAAATTTTCTTTTTCGAGGCTTGACTTTTTTGTTAGCTGAGTCCATTTCTTTTGGTAAAAGGAACGCAAACTGCATTATCGAATGTAAAAATCACGAAAAACGTGATCGACTTCTAGTGTCAAAAATTGTTACGAAATTAGCATTTAATTTTCAGATTTCCTAGCGAAATAAAAAGTTTACCTATTGATCCAGTTTTCTCAAAATGGTTTAATTATATCGTAAAAGTGGCAATCATCATTTGTTCTGAAATTCAAAGAGATTTAAGGGCATCTATTGTTTTCTTTAAAATTCGAAAGTTGAGATTTTTGCCAAAAAAAACCAAATCAATTTTTCTGTTTAATTGCGTTCATTGACTTTTTTCCAACTGTCTGTCGGCTATGTTGTCGGTTTCCATTCCAAGTGAATTTTCAAAAATATTGATGGACTATTACTTAAACATAACATAAAATTACTGATTTTCCAGCGAAATAAAAATTTTGCCTATTGATCCAGTTTTCTCAATTGTTCGAGAAACTCACATAGCTCTAAAGGGCATCTTTTTCTTCGAACTGTTTTTTTTTTGTTTAATTGCGTTTATTGATTTTTTTTCCAAATGTCTGTTGGCTAATAACAGTCGATGAATGTAGTTCAGGTTCTTATGTAGGTCGCGATGATTTTTTTGTTTTGTTTTCTGGAAAAGTCTTAAAATTTGATCAGGCTCAATTTTTTTTTCGCGGTTTGACTTTCGATTTTTCTTTGAGTTCAGTTAATTTCAATTCCTTTGTTAAAAGTAAAGCAAACTCCACTATCGAACAGAAAAAGTTAAAATAAGGTCGCGAAAATTTTGATCGACTTTTAGTTTCGAAGATGGGTTTTAATTTTCAGATTTCCCAGCGAAATAAAAATTTTACCTATTTATGACCCAGTTTTCTCAAATTGGGTTAATTTTACCGAGAAAGTGCTAATCATCATTTTTTCTGGAAATTCAAAGAGCTTCTAGGGCATTTTTTTCTTTGAAGTTCGAAGGTTGAGTTTTTTCAAAGAACAAGTCAGCTTGTTTTTTTTTGTTTAATTGCATTTATTGATCATTTTCCAACTCTCTGTTGGCTATTAAGTATTAACAGTCGATGAACGTATTTTTTTGTTTTTTTTTCTTTTCAGGCAAAGTCTTACAAAGTCTTATACTTTGTTCAGGGTCAATTTTTTTCTTGTTTTGATCTTTTTCGGTTTCCATTCCAAGTTAATTTTTAAAAGTATTAATAGAATATTACTGAAACATAACTGGATTTTTCAGGCGAAATTGCGGACGAGAAAAAGAGTGTAAACAATCAGAAACTAGCTGAAGGCATGCAAAAGTTTTGCGGATCTTCAAAGCAAAGTGACACAAAAGAACAGCAGAGCAAGAGCCGTGCGGCAAAGTTCTCGAAGCTGAAGGATAACTTCAAGAACAGAATACAGACAAATATCATGAAGGTAGTTGATGGTAGTGAAACTTGGCATGATTTTCCAACTATGAACCTCACGAGTCTCGAGTTTGAGTATATCAAATGTGCGGCTGAGGATGCTGGGCTTAAACAGGAGGAGCGTGGAGTGGCCGTCGATGGACGTTTGTCGGTATTTAAATCCAAGTGATAAAAATATTTGATAAATTTAAATTATTGAGTTCGTCCTAGAATAGTTCCTTGATTTTGAATCTGATGTTTTTTGCTATTGAGATAAGTTAAATGTTTGATTACCTTTGTTTTGATTTTGTTATAATGGCTGTTGGAGACAGAATTGCCATATAGAATACTGCGGTGGTAATTTTTGATAGTTTTTCTCTAGTCGCTTTGATTCTTTTGTCGGTGTTTTTAGGAAAAAGCTTGCGCTGAGTTTGCTAACGCTCAACAAATTCGATTTTCATTTCACTTTATTTCTCAAATTCAGCTCATTTCCTTTGCGAATAGGAAGCCAACTCAACTATCAAACAGTTGAAGTGAAATGTGAATGAGTTCTAGTTTTAAACCTGGATTTTTGAAGTTTCTGAACGTTACGAAATTAGCATTTAAAAATCACGAAAAACGTGATCGACTTCTAGTGTCAAAAATTGTTACGAAATTAGCATTTAATTTTCAGATTTCCTAGCGAAATAAAAAGTTTACCTATTGATCCAGTTTTCTCAAAATGGTTTAATTATATCGTAAAAGTGGCAATCATCATCGTAGTGTTTTGATTTTGTTATAATGGCTGTTGGAGACAGAATTGCCATATAGAATACTGCGGTGGTAATTTTTGATAGTTTTTCTCTAGTCGCTTTGATTCTTTTGTCGGTGTTTTTAGGAAAAAGCTTGCGCTGAGTTTGCTAACGCTCAACAAATTCGATTTTCATTTCACTTTATTTCTCAAATTCAGCTCATTTCCTTTGCGAATAGGAAGCCAACTCAACTATCAAACAGTTGAAGTGAAATGTGAATGAGTTCTAGTTTTAAACCTGGATTTTTGAAGTTTCTGAACGTTACGAAATTAGCATGTAAAAATCACGAAAAACGTGATCGACTTCTAGTGTCAAAAATTGTTACGAAATTAGCATTTAATTTTCAGATTTCCTAGCGAAATAAAAAGTTTACCTATTGATCCAGTTTTCTCAAAATGGTTTAATTATATCGTAAAAGTGGCAATCATCATTTGTTCTGAAATTCAAAGAGATTTAAGGGCATCTATTGTTTTCTTTAAAATTCGAAAGTTGAGATTTTTGCCAAAAAAAACCAAATCAATTTTTCTGTTTAATTGCGTTCATTGACTTTTTTCCAACTGTCTGTCGGCTATGTTGTCGGTTTCCATTCCAAGTGAATTTTCAAAAATATTGATGGACTATTACTTAAACATAACATAAAATTACTGATTTTCCAGCGAAATAAAAATTTTGCCTATTGATCCAGTTTTCTCAATTGTTCGAGAAACTCACATAGCTCTAAAGGGCATCTTTTTCTTCGAACTGTTTTTTTTTTGTTTAATTGCGTTTATTGATTTTTTTTCCAAATGTCTGTTGGCTAATAACAGTCGATGAATGTAGTTCAGGTTCTTATGTAGGTCGCGATGATTTTTTTGTTTTGTTTTCTGGAAAAGTCTTAAAATTTGATCAGGCTCAATTTTTTTTTCGCGGTTTGACTTTCGATTTTTCTTTGAGTTCAGTTAATTTCAATTCCTTTGTTAAAAGTAAAGCAAACTCCACTATCGAACAGAAAAAGTTAAAATAAGGTCGCGAAAATTTTGATCGACTTTTAGTTTCGAAGATGGGTTTTAATTTTCAGATTTCCCAGCGAAATAAAAATTTTACCTATTTATGACCCAGTTTTCTCAAATTGGGTTAATTTTACCGAGAAAGTGCTAATCATCATTTTTTCTGGAAATTCAAAGAGCTTCTAGGGCATTTTTTTCTTTGAAGTTCGAAGGTTGAGTTTTTTCAAAGAACAAGTCAGCTTGTTTTTTTTTGTTTAATTGCATTTATTGATCATTTTCCAACTCTCTGTTGGCTATTAAGTATTAACAGTCGATGAACGTATTTTTTTGTTTTTTTTTCTTTTCAGGCAAAGTCTTACAAAGTCTTATACTTTGTTCAGGGTCAATTTTTTTCTTGTTTTGATCTTTTTCGGTTTCCATTCCAAGTTAATTTTTAAAAGTATTAATAGAATATTACTGAAACATAACTGGATTTTTCAGGCGAAATTGCGGACGAGAAAAAGAGTGTAAACAATCAGAAACTAGCTGAAGGCATGCAAAAGTTTTGCGGATCTTCAAAGCAAAGTGACACAAAAGAACAGCAGAGCAAGAGCCGTGCGGCAAAGTTCTCGAAGCTGAAGGATAACTTCAAGAACAGAATACAGACAAATATCATGAAGGTAGTTGATGGTAGTGAAACTTGGCATGATTTTCCAACTATGAACCTCACGAGTCTCGAGTTTGAGTATATCAAATGTGCGGCTGAGGATGCTGGGCTTAAACAGGAGGAGCGTGGAGTGGCCGTCGATGGACGTTTGTCGGTATTTAAATCCAAGTGATAAAAATATTTGATAAATTTAAATTATTGAGTTCGTCCTAGAATAGTTCCTTGATTTTGAATCTGATGTTTTTTGCTATTGAGATAAGTTAAATGTTTGATTACCTTTGTTTTGATTTTGTTATAATGGCTGTTGGAGACAGAATTGCCATATAGAATACTGCGGTGGTAATTTTTGATAGTTTTTCTCTAGTCGCTTTGATTCTTTTGTCGGTGTTTTTAGGAAAAAGCTTGCGCTGAGTTTGCTAACGCTCAACAAATTCGATTTTCATTTCACTTTATTTCTCAAATTCAGCTCATTTCCTTTGCGAATAGGAAGCCAACTCAACTATCAAACAGTTGAAGTGAAATGTGAATGAGTTCTAGTTTTAAACCTGGATTTTTGAAGTTTCTGAACGTCTTCAAGGCTTTTGTATAGTTGGCGATGATTTTTTTTGCCGTTTTAGTATTATAAGTGGAAGGAAGAAAATTACCTAGGTCTTGCTGTTACCATATTTTTCATTTAATTGAGTGGCCTTAGAACAGATGTATGCCTCTTCAAAGTTTTGGGCAAATGCCAGAAAGTAATGGTCGATTTTTTCTGCCCTAATACTCATCTGTCGATCCATTTTTTGAAGCCAACTGTATTATTACACAATTTTGATAAAAGAAATTCAACTGGATGTTTGTGGAACCATTGCTGAGAATTTCAAATCATATCAGTTTTGTAAATTGTTGGGCTGAAATTTAAAATTCACTCTTCAATTAGCTGTTGCCAAACTCAGAAGCCAACGTTTTTGCTCCACCGGAAGATTGATTTTCTACCTGAGAAGATAAAAATTGATGTTATGCTTCCTTGATCGAAATGAGCTAATTTAAGAAATGATCAAAAAAAATTTCGATTGGCAGTTTGCCTGATTAAAAACTAGTTTTCTCAAAGTTGAAATTCGAACAGCAAAAGAGTAACGTTCACGAAAAATCTGAATGTTTGCCAGTTTCAAAAGTTGATTATGTTTTGAAGATTTGGCTGCGGAATGAGAGTCGTGCCTATTCATTTAATTTTTAAGATTCAATGAACGCAGTGCAGACTCTTATTTAGGCCTTTATAGATTTTTTTTATTCAAAAAAATTCTTCTCGCTCAAAATTGATTTTTTCGCAGTTATTTAGTTCAATTCTTGTTGACACGAGGGAGCTAGCGAGAGCAGTGTTACAGTATTAACCTGTCTTTTTCCTAGCTAGTTCAAAAATAAAAATGCTCATTTGGTGGCACTTATGCTATAATCACAATCTATAAGATTGGAAACTTCATAGCGTCTGTTCTCTGCTTTATTGGTGGATAGTGTTTACCGGCTGGCAAGCAACTTTGAATTTTGTGGAAGGACGTGAAAATCGAAATGTACAGGTCGGAGGTTCAATGCCGCTTCAAGCAATAATTATTTTCATGCTGATGGCTTTTTTGCTTCATAGATTTGGCGATTTAATGGAACGAGTCTGCTTAGTTAGTGGTTAGTGTTAGCAACTGTTCTTTAAAAAAACTGTTCTTGGAATTCAAACTGCTTAAGAAGCAGTAATTTTTTTCTTTGCAGTTTGAAAGTTTTCCGTTTCTTTGCGTTCATTGACATTTTTCCAGCTGTCTAAATTGACGAATGGAAAAAGATGTCACATGGTCTGAGCTAGATTCATTTTCAATTTCATTTGCGAGAGCAAGTGTTTTGTTATCGATAATTTTATTTTTTCCCGAAAATTGTGAAGTTGATTCATTCGTGAATATTACCAATTTCGAGAATCCTTCCCGCTTGAGGCTCGAGTCACAGTCTGACCTTGTTTTTTTTCAAAAAAAATATAACGAATTTCGGACTTTCGTTGGTCTGCTTATGTTTTGTTGGCCTATTCGCCACATCGGGGATTTTTTTGTGCTGTCAGCAATTGAAATCGTAGATGCAAGTGTTTTTGATTTAGTCCTAATTTGTAAAATTAATTGCCCTCAGTTTGCGTAATTTCCTTGCTTTTCCTTTGTTTTTTTTTCGCTTACAGGCTTTGTCAGGTTTCATTAATTTTGCATTGGTTTTATTGGCTTTCTTATCGTATTTTAGGCCGCATTCAAGGCAAAAAATGAGTGATTGTCTTGAAAAATTTAGGTGGTTTTGTGTTGCAAGATTTTCAATTCTTGAAAACTTAATTGCACAAATTTTTTTAATGAAAATTTATTTATGATTGATTTTTTTGGTTTTCGGTTCAGCGGTTGTCCGCCCAAATTTTTTTGGCTTAGTCGCCGCTCGGTAAATAATTAAAGTTTTTATTGGTGATTGCGTTTTTTGACTGTTTCTCAGAAGTTATTTCCATTTTTTTCCAAACAAATAAAAAAAAAATTCAGTTTTTGTCCTTTCGTCTCATTTTCTTTTTGCCAAATTGCAATGCTGAGCTTGAGTTGTAGTTCAAGTCATGCGAAGCTACGTTTTGCCTCTGTATAAATTTAGTCTAGGCACTTGTGTGAAAAGCTTAGCTTAGTTCCTATTCATTTTTATCAAACAATCCAGCACTTGTTTGAAAAATTTGTCTCAATTCTCAGTGCAAGGTGATGGTTTTGATTTTCCCATATTTAGTTGTTGTAACTTTTAATTTCTCGCAGTAAGTATTCCGTTTCCAAAAAAATTGTCAGCTTATTATTTGTCTGCTTATGTTTCTTCATTTTTTTCGCGGAACAACTTTACTCTGGCCCATTAATTTCGGCTTTTATTTTATCGGCTTAGTGACCTAATTTTTAGTCGTTTCAAGAGAAACATAATGTTTATGCTCAGTAATTTGCACAAAATGCTTAAATCTTAATAGATTTTATTGTTCAAGTTTTTCATGACAAATTTTTTCGCCTTTTAGTTTTTTTTAGGCTTGATAGGCTCCGACTTATTATATCGGCTTGATGGCCTTGTTTTATGTCTTTTCTATTGTCCTGGTTTTTTTTCAAAATTAGCCTGATTCATCTTGATAGATCTAGAATTTTCGGTTTTTTTTCGTCTTTTTCAGACTAAGCGGCTTTCTGGTTTTGTATCGCAAGCGGCTCTGTTACTTCTAATTCTTCAGCAAATTTGGTCATCCTTTACTTGAATAGATTGGCAGTAAATTCAGAAAAAAAATGTTTCATCTCTTGAAGGTTCGATGTGAGTTTGAGTTTGAGTTTTTCAGTTCGCGTTATTTTTTTTTCAACCCTTTTGTAATTAAAGCAATTCTTGTTTTTAGCTTCTGCCTTGGGTTGATTTTCAAGCAGATCTTGCTACCCGCGAAATCAAAAGTATCAGCAAAAAAGCTATCAATTTGATTTTTAATCAGTTTTTTCAAAGTTTTTGATCCCAATATCATTGAGAAAAAAAAGAGACATTAATTTACCGCTTTTGGAGTGGATCGGAAATGTCCGTCGCGGTCAGGTCGATTTTAATTGTCCTAAAATCTTTCGCAATTATTTCTTATTGGGATTAAATTTAATACCTGTATTTTTAATCATGTAAAAATTAATGATGAGCCGTTAGTAATTAAGTCTTTTTATTAACGCCCGACGACTCCCGACAAAAAACCGACCACAAATTTTGAAAGGAAATTCTGGAAGTAATATGTTACGGTACTTAGATAGCAACCGTTTGTTCTTGTCATTCCGTACGCCAACAGTATCGGATTTTCAACTCTGTGTTTCGAAATTTTTTTGAAGCGTTGTGAAGCGTTTCTTTAGTAATGCCTGTCTTCATATACTATCCTGACCTGGGAGATCTTTGCAACCAGCGTTTTCAATTTTTTTCAGAGCTGTTCCACTGATTTAAATCTATTCAGTTTTACGTAATGACCTTTCGCTAAATGGTACAAAGGCAAAGTACTCAGAGTAGCCCAGTGAATGATCCAACCTCTTTGCGCACTAAAGATGATTCGGAGATCCCTGACCCCAAAAATATACCTACTAAACCGAAAGAAAGCTCAGATGATAGGCTTGTGAAAGGCAAGCAGGGCGATTCTGATTTAACCAAGACAGATAAGAGAGAGAGTTGCCTCACTGTTGTAACGCAAGCTATCCAAATCCCTACTTCGAACAGTGATTGCAACGAGAACCCTAAAGGTAAGGTTTCTTGCATATAACCATCATACATGGCTGCTGAGATAAGTGCTCTTAAGTGAAGAAGCTATTTTTATTGGAGTTACGTAGTTTTATCATATGCTTAAGGTGAACTGTGTAAAAGTGCCGCTGACAGAGCGAAAGAAGAAGCTGATGGTGGCAAACTAAGAGACAACAAGAGCGCTCGTGCAATCAACAGTGAATCCTCTTTGCAACCACAGTCCCATCCGACTCGTCAACAGATCCCATCCAGTGCCTCTACAGACTCAAATCAGAGGAAACTATCGTCGATGGCAGCTCCTATGAATCACAGCGTAGCAGCCAGTGGTGCTCAGATCACACAGCAAGGTTGGTTCTTCATACTTACATTGATGGTGTAGATAAAACCTGGCTAAGAAAGGGCGATCTGAGCTGAAAATGCAAATGGCAATGGAATCGGCGACGAGACATTGTTTTAGAAATTCAAAGATTTTAAGGGCATCTATTTTTTTTCTTTAACATTCGAAAGTTGGTATTTTCAGAACATAAATCATTATTTTTTCTGTTTACTAGCGTTCATTGACTCTTCCAACCATCTTTTGGCTATATTTATTATTTAAATAATAAAACTTTAGGTTATCAAAGCTTAACTGATTTTAAGAATACTTATTTGTTTGTACTCAGTGTCTCATGAGTTGCGAGTGGATGACGACGAGAGCGAGGACGAGGAGGAGGACGACGGAGGGGCTGAGGAGATCCTGGAGGAGTCGCCGTGTGGAAGATATCACAAGCGTAAGGAGAGGGTGACCCAGAGGGACGTACCAGGCATAGACGCCGCATTCCTCGCCATGGACACTGACTATGCCGTACAGGTAGGTTGGTTAAAACGCTGCTGCGGATAAAAGTCAGAACTATTTTTCTTAGCTGAGCAACTAAATCGGCATGTGAAAAAAACATCTTGCAAAAAGCAAATGACGTCAAAATGAATATTTTTTTGATGGTTATGATTAACAAATGAAAATATGTCACGAGAAAATGATTTGAAGCCTTGAAGCCAAAAAAATTATTATGTACGTCGCGAAAGATCATTGGAATGAAATATTACGTGAATCCGCCTAATTAGACATTTTAAGTCCTCTATTATTATTTTTTGTTTTGGTGCAGCAAGAGCTGTTAGCTGTTATAAATATTCAATGATATCTGGTTCAGTTATTGAAAAATATTTTTTTGATCATTATGAAAGCTTCTCTGGCGTGGATATTGGTGTGTTCGAAATTTCAGATGTTTTTATTGAGAGCATGTTATGTTATTTTTGCTACCATTCCAAAATAGAATGAAGAGAGTGAAATTAAAATGAAAACGAGTTCAAGAGCAGTCAAGGTTCGTAATATAACTCGGAACAAGTTTAATTTATGCGCAGGTGGTGTGGAATGAAGTCGTGTTTTCTCAGCGGAAGAGCTGCTTCAAACCTCAGGCTGCCTCCATCAAGCAGGTATTCGACAACCTCATGCTCATAGACCACCCAAACATCATCAAAGTGCACAAGTACTGGACTACCGAGAACAAAGACGAGAAGCCTAGACTCATCTTCATCACGGAGTATATGCCCTCCAGAAATATGAAGCAATTCCTAAAGACCACCAGGTGCACTTGATTGATAGAGTGTTGTTCTTTTTCTAAAGTATTTTTTGAATGTTTTTACTTCCCTAATAAATACTCTACAGGACAATTAGTGGTCCTCTCTATTCTGAAGAACATTTTGACAGATGCGATGCTAGAAGACAAACTTTTTTGTGATTGTGCCGTATTTCTGGAAAAAAAATGATTTTAACGATAGAAATCTAAGGCTCGCCTTAAAAATGGATGATAGATTGAGATAGTATGAAAAGATATTTTCAGTCCTAAGTTTGGAGTAAAAGAATGTGATTGGTAGCCATTGGTTTTGACAATGAGTTTTGCCTAGGTCTCAAACGCAGAAACAGATGGGTTTCAAAGTGTGGAAGAGATGGTGCATTCAGATGCTGTCCGCTCTCAGCTACCTGCACTCAGTTGATCCCCCCATTATACATGGTAACTTAAACTGTGAAACTCTATTCATCCAACACAATGGACTTCTGAAGATAGGTTCCATAGCTCCTGATGCTATCCATACCCATGTGAAAACTTGCAAAGAGCAGCAGAAGCATTTCCACTTTATAGCTCCAGAGTATGCTGGTTCTGGAGACCAGCCTATTAACGAAGCAGTAGATATATACGCTTTCGGAATGTGTGCTCTAGAAATGGCTGTCCATGGTTTAACTGGAAACGGCGAGAACGTATCGATTACCGAAGAATTAATTGAGAAAACGCTTCAGACTCTTCAAGCAGAGCAAGCAGATTTTATTCGTTCATGTATTGCAGAAAACCCAAAGAATCGGCCATCAGCCAGAGAATTATTGTTCAGGCCGATAATATTCGAAGTGCATCAATTGAAATTGTTATCTGCACACGTAGTGGCAAATCACGACTTGCAATTACAAGATAACCCTTTGTACAAAAACAAACGTCAACCAAATGATGTATTTGCAAGTATCAAGAGCAACCCCACCAGTGGAGGAAGTTATGCTTCTTACGTGTATGGAAAGTTACCTCAGAATGACCTAGAAAAGCTTTTGGAAGATGTTTCTCAAGGATTATTCCCTCTGACAAATTACGCTGTGAAGAAACGTTTGGAGAAATTGTCTCAGGCGTCCAGTGTTGAAGAGAACGACAACGCCACTGCCGGAGACAGTTCGGGAGAAGCTCCGGATCCCGAGATGCGGATGATAGTATCAATGTCATGTGAAGTGCATTTTTCGAAAAGTAAGGAACAAGAATCCTCAACTGGTGCTATCAATGCTGAAGACGCTTCTGCTGGAAATATTCTAGAAAGTTCCATTCCAAATTTTGACATCAGTTTGAAGTTGAAACTTGATGATAACACGACACGGTTTTTAAACAGTCAGTTCTCAGGCACTGAGTTGCCGATTTTGTCGCAAGAATTGGTCGATTTGGGATTCATAAATGAGTCTGATAAAGACAAAGTAAATGATGTAATACGGAAAGCCCACAGTAAAGTGCTGGCCACCTCTTTGAATGTGATATCTTGAAAATCAATTGAATGAAATATTTGTTAGGACTATGGTGTTATGTGACTTATTTTCAATTCGGTTCGTAGTTGTATGCAAATAAACAAAGTTTAATCTGTTGCACAATTTTTAAATGAGTCGATTAGGAGCAGTCTCTACTTTTTTTATTTGCCCTCCGGTCCTAATCGCTCCTTATTATTTTGGGCCTTGCTTCCGCGGGGAAGATCAATGTCATTGATTTTGCCATAGCCGGTCATGTCTTGAGGAGTCGAATGCCACTGGGACCCCTCCAACCGTGACCGAAGTCATATTTGAACCCACGACATTTGTGTTAAAGAGCGCGCATTTTATCTCACTCGGCTGCTGCCGCTAAACAGTTTTACCCTAGAAATGTGTCAGTACAAATTTCTGTTTTTCAGGTTTAGTCATGGCTAGATTTCAAATTTTTAGGCGCAGCGACTGAGACATCACAAAAAGAGCTGTGAGTTTATTTATTGCTTTCATCTATTTCGAAAATATTTGTCATCAAAGATGTTGCATTTTAAAGCTGATTTATTTCTATTAATTTTGTAAAATTTCTACACCGTTTTGCCCTTTGTTTTCTCATTGTGTAATTTTCTCATTGTGTAAATCAATATAACACGAAAATTTCGCGCTGTAATAATAATCCATGTATTACATAGTGATTGACACTGAAAAGTGGACATACCGTGTTTTCTCGAATAAAAGCTGCGTTGAGTTCATTCGATAAGAAAAGTTATTATTGTTTGTAGAAATTTGAGAACACGGTCTCTTTTTTCCATTTTACAAATTAATGCGTCTCTCATTCGAGGGCATCTTTTAATTGGGGCGGCTTTCTTTCGAGAAAATAAGATAGCCAAGGTAATAGACCGTTATGCAGGTTGTTAGGTTTTCTAGGTTTTTTAATGCTCATTTGTTCGTTCTGTGGTATGACGTACGATTGTTTTTCAAAATCATTCAATCTCCACTATTAAACATGCGAATGGTGCATAAAAGCTTGGTTGGCTTTTAGATTATTTACCTGTGATCTTTTTTCATAAAGTTATGCAGAAGAAGAATTAATTTCTCGTTGTTACACAACGGCATATTAGCTAAAAATACTTAAACAAATTTGTTAGCAATTCGGAGAGGACAGCGAACGATGCCATTTGGATTACAGGATGCTGGCCTAAACTCGAACACATTCGAATAAACCTAATAACAAGAGCATGCCATTTCTGAAGAACGACGGTAGCAAAAAAAGTAGCTTTTCACTTTAACAAAAAAATGTCGTTCAATAAACTGAACCTTTTTAGTGGTACATAAGACAATTTCCTGATGATATACACCTTAAGATAGCCGGTGTAAGTATACAAACTTGACACAATTGGCTGAAAATTGAAAAGAAAAAGAAAAACTGAATTTGTTCTTATACTCTTCAGAAACTCGCTAGTCGTAGCCCCCTTGTTCGGTTCAATTGTAAAACTTGAACTTGTTCACTTGGCGGTTACTGCATCTACTAACTGTACCTCGTCTCTAAAGTCTCCCTGACACCAAGAAAATTGGATGGAGGACATTTTGACGTTGGGCGCCTAATTGAGCTCAAGCGGCAGTAACCAGTGAAATTTGAAAACTAATTAGACTAATTGAAAACCCAAGTAATCAGAAAACTATACGGCACCTGAAATCAACGCTAGACGGAAGCAAAAACATAAGCAGTCACCTGCAAATACATATTTAACGATGTCTTCATTGCTCAAAATGTATAAATCACGTTGATTATGAGCCACAGATTGATTACCAGAATGAGTTAAATTGTCGAAAAAGTCAATAACTAAGTTATTGTCGCGCAACATATTGAAAATTTTCGATCGCCTAAAACTGATCGAAGCTCGTTGTATTCGACTTTTTAAGTTTGGTCTTTTAAAGGGAAAATAACTTTCTATACGTGTCATATAAACAGATTCTCAAAACAGAAAAGATTATTTAAAAGAATTTTCACAATGAAGTCCAGCAAGGGATCTCAATACAAATTTGAGAAGTCCGTAGACATATAGCTTGTGAATAGTTGAAATTTTTTTTTTCAATAAAAAAAGACGAACGAATGCTATCATAATTTCGTTTGAAATGACTCAAGCGCAAATATATTTCATGTATCATCAAAAGTGGCATTAGCTGAGTATAACCGGTGCAACCATATACGAGAATTCCGTATGGCAAATTTGACTTAATATTTGATCTATAGTACTGAAGTAAAATCGATTTTGGAACATATTGACGCATTTTTGAAACAATCCCGCATTTCTGATTTTGTTCCGCTGGCAATTAATATGATCATTGATTGATAACTTAGAATCAACATGAGCACCGAGATATTTGCATGAAGAAATGCTTGTTAGAGGTAAATTATTGATGTATAAGAGAGAACTGGAAGCATTAAGTGAGGATAAGTTTAAATACACAGGTTTATCCATATTTAGTGATAATTTTTTAATATTTAGCCATGCATTCGCCGCTTTGAGATCGTTATTGAAACTTTCAATTCAGCAATTTAGACCTGTAATGTTTGTATCATCTGCAAATGAAAAAACTTCGCACGAATAGCAAACTTTGGGTAGGTCTTTGATATATATGAATAACAGGTGTCTCAAAAAGGAACTCTTTTGAACGCCGCAATTTAACTTCAAGCCTTAAAGATCTGGTTTTTCGATTTGCACTTAATGGTTACGATTTTTTTATGGTAGCGTTTGAACCATAGTAATGTCTGGCCACTTATTGTAAGCATTTTTGGTTTTTTAAAAACATTTTTTGACCAAGTGTATCAAACGCCTTCTTCAAGTCAAGAAAAACAGTTTCCTTTATTGATTTTTCTTATCCAGGCGTATTTTTCCGGTAACTTCTGCAATTGCCACAAAAGCAGTATGATTTTTTTTCAAACCAAACTGTTTGACATAGATTAGCGAATAATTTTCCAGGTATTCGTATACTCTGTTATACATAGCACGCTCGAAATTTTCATTCAAGGTTATGAGAATGGATATTGGACAGTATTTTTCTAAAATGAGCTTTGATCCTTCTTTATAAAGCCGATACAAAAATTGGTTTTCTCATGGATTTGCGCTCAGTTAGATTTTGGTATTTCTTTGGACAGGTTAAAACCGATAGTTGAGAAAAAAATTTTAATTTGTTTGCAAGGTCAATTTTTTCTCCGTTTGTGTTTTTATTGAAAGAATTTTAATCTGTTTTGCCACATGCAATTCCCGTAATTTCATTTAAAGTTTTGATTATAATAGTATTGCTTTTTGTTTTTTAAAATTTCGATCTCAGTTTTCTTCGTAGCAGTTTCGAATCGAATTCCTGCAGATGGGGCTGATTTTTTTTTGACCATGCTCTATGTAGCCGGTTCCATCTTGCAATCATTTTTTAAAGTTAGTGATCCATCGAGACTTGGTTTTTCTTTTCTTCGAACTTGATGATCTAAAAAGAGCAAATTGATCTCATACTCAATTATACTTTGATTCAAATTGATGAAAGCAATCAACCAATGATTCTGAATAGTTTATTTTTTGCATCGTTCGATATCTCCTGATTGAAGCTGTCAGCGCTCAGTATCGGTTTCAGAAAACCAGTATCACTAAGTTTTAGTATCTTCGTCTTTTAAGTGTGGTGTGTAAAACTCAAGTAATCGGAGAGTAATCAGAAAAAGACATGTTATCTCGTACTTGAGCAGATTTGACTTTTAAGTCTTTAACAATGAAGTGATGTTAAAGAATTTCACTTATATTTGCAATTGTTGTTGGTTTTGTGACCAGCTGTTCATAGTCATTTCGTTCGATGACATCTTGATATTATTCATGGTTCGCTGTTAATGCTTCCAGTTCATCGTAGTGTTCACGTAGAGATCTTACATTTAATGGAAAACGCTGGCAACTTAAGTGTTTGAGGAATAAGCCACAAACGATTTTTTGAAAAGTTGATTAGGTTTCTGGTGCATTATGCTCTTGCTGAAAAACTCGGTTTTGATAGCAACTCATCAAGTCGTTCAAGCTGTTTTCCAGGATTTCACCATCTTCGTAAAGCCTATTTGTTCGGTTAGCACGTTGACCATTCTTCCATTGAACAAATATGGCTCCTTCGTTATTCCAGCTCGACTGAATTCTATGATCATTCCGAATCAATTGCATTAACTTTAATCGTGGGAGGCTCGGGTCTTCGGATATTTTGATGGTTCTTGTATGCTCGTTCTCAGTCAATTTTTTTTATTGGGTACACTCAATATGACTGCTCAAATCCTTTTGGTTTTCGAGATTTGACGTTTTTAAATTTTTTTCCATTTTTTCAACAAACTTAGATATAGAAAAACTAACCGAACTTGAATTTTCCAAACCTATAGTGGGGTGCTATCAGTGTAGCCTCAAGGGCTACAAATCTAGCGTCCAAGTGTGACTGCTCAAATCCCTATGGTTTTCGAGATATGGTGTTTTTTTTTTTGATTTTTTCGGTTTTTTTTCTCCAAAAAAATAAGATATAAAAAAACTAACCGAACTTGATTTTCTCAACCCTATAGTGGGGTTTTATCGGGGTACACACCTAAGCTGCAAATCTAGCGTCCAAGCATGACTGCTCAAATCTTTATAGTTTTCGAGATATGGATTTTTCAATGATTTTTTCAGTTTTTTTCCAAAAAACTTAGTTATTAAAAAACTAACCGAACTTGATTTTCTCAACCCCATAGTGGAGTGATATCGGGGTACACTCAAGAGCTACAAATCTAGCGTTCAAGTATGACTGCTCAAATCTTTTTGGTTTTCGAGATATGTGGTTTTTTATGATTTTTTAAATTTTTTCAGAAAACTAACATACAAAAGAAACTAACCGAACTTGAATTTCTCAACCCTAAAGTGGTGTGCTATCGGGGTACAATCAAAGGCTATAAATCTAGTGATCAAGTTTGACTGCTCAAGTCCTGATAGTTTTCGAGATAGGGCCTTTTTAAAAAATTTTTTTTTCAAAAAAATTAGATATAATTAACTAACCGAACTTGAATTTTTCATCCTATAGTGGGGTGCTATCGGGGTACTTTCGAGGGCCACAAATCTAGCGTCCAAGTATACTGCT